CTGGAGGACATGCTAAATGAAATAAGCCAGACACAGAAAGACAAAAACTGTATGATCTCACTTCTATGTGGGATCTGAAATAGTCCAATTCATGGAAGCAGGGAGTCGAATGGTGGTTACCAGGGACTGGGGGGAGGGGGACATGGGGAGACATGGGTCGAGGCATGAAAAGTGTCACCTGTGAGATGAGTAAGTACAGCACGGTGACTATAATCGTAGTGTTTTGTACACTTGACATTTGAGAAGAGAGTCGATCTCAGTGTTCTCAACCACACACACAAAAGGTGCCTATGTGAAGTGACAGATGTGTTAATTAGCTTGATTGTAGTGATCATGCCACAATGTGTATGTCCATCAAAATATCACACCACATACCTTAAACACATACAATTTTTTTTTATCAATTATACCTCAATAAAACTGGAAAAAAGTAAAATAAAATAATTTTTAAAAGGGAAAAAGCCTTGCGTAGGAAGCGGTTACTGATATCAGAAGTGAGTCCAAACAACACACACGGGTGGGTACCGAGCACGACCTAGGGCGCTGACCTCGCCTATAACCGGTTTCTCTTCGGCTGCATCTCACAGCCCAGGCTTATGACGTAGTCCTGGTCACTAGAGGACCATTGGCTCGACACCACATACTCAGCTGCTCTCCACGTTGACTGTAACTACCGATGATCCTAACCTGCCAGCACAACTCTCAGCTACCAGTTACAAAGGAGCTAACCAGCAAGCGCAGGGCCTCCACCAGACCCCCGTCCCCCTCTCCCAGTACTGAGTCCCAGGACTGAGCCGGCTCAGGCAAGGCCCAGAGCTTATGGAGCCAACGTCAGTGCCCCAGGCTGGTGACACGCACGCTCGGTGGCCAGGGCTCCTCAGCTGCCAGGTGACAAGGAGCCCCACCGCTCGGCCTTCCCCGTCACTTCCTGACCTGCCAGCCCCCTCCCTGACGTCCTGTCGCTTGGCTGAATTGTACTTTGTTGGAAAGGGGCAGACGGAGAAAAGCAGGGCAGAGAGTAGATATAAGATCAAAGGCCGTCTCCATTCAGAAAACAAACAACAGTTACAGAATGCGTGTCTTTCATCTCAGATATTATGTCCGATTTCACAAGGTCCCGGTTTTTATGTTAGAACAATCATCAGAAACATTACCAAGCACTGCAACAGAGTTTAAAACCTACTTCGAAACGACGTGTCTGACAAAAGAAATTGCACACACCGGCCGCCGCCGGGTCCTCGGGCCTCGGATGCAGAAGCGTCCTCGGAGGGCCTGGCCACACCCCACGAGGCCAGCAGACAGTTCTGCCGCCATATTTTCCAGAAGGGATTCTACTAGACTCGCTTGCTTGTTTTTTGAGAGGTTTTCACGAAGAAGGAAAAACTGAAAGCCACCTGCCCTAACGGCCTAACGCAGGTCTTAGCCCCGAGGCCCTGGCCGCTGTCTGCCATACTGTAAATGCCCGAATTCAATATTCACTTGACAAACACCTCCCGTGCCATCGCTGTGCTGAAGCCACCGCGCGAAGGTCACTGTCCAGTGGGTGGAGGAAGCAGACAAGCCAGTGACGCCGATAAATAATTAAAATGATGGTACCTCGTCAGCAGTGTCGGAAGGAGATGAAGCCTAGGCTGACGCTCAAGTGAAGGCCGGGGTGGTCAGCGCAGGGCTCCGGGGGGCGCTGGCCCAGGCCGGGGAGACCACGCTGGCAGCGGACAGTGCTGGGGGAGCCCACCGAGACCCCATGCGTCTGAGGGGCCGCGGGAGACTAGGGGAGGAGGCCTGCCAGCCCGGGGGGCGGAGCGAACCGCGAGGGGCGGACTTTAGGCGGAGGAAGTGGGAGGGGCCGGGATGCAGTGGGCGGAGACGGAGGAGGGTCACGGGGAGACCCTGGGGCCACATCATGCTTGCGAAGAAAGAGCGAGGTTGGAAAGGCTGGGTTGGTATGTGTATGAAGCAGCTAGAGAGGACGTGCCCCAGACCCCAGACCCCAGACCCCAGGAGCCAGAGCCGCGTCCCCCATGGTCACAGCCCGACACGTGCCTGCAGGTGCAGGTGTTTACTCAAAAGCTCCCTAATGCCCCAACTTCCCAACCTCAAAGGGCGGGTCCAGTACCGGCAGAGACAGCCTGGCCCTTCCAGGGTGTGGGAGCTGGGTGGGAGGGGAAGTCCTGGCGAAGCTGCTTGGTACTACAAAGTAAAAAAGAAAGAAAGAAAATAAGAGAGTAAACTTTAATTACAATAAAGCTGCCTTGTGCCAAACCCCAGGTTCAGGGACCGGAAGGCTCTCTCCCCTCTGCTCGGGAAGGCCTTACAATGCCACCAAGCTATGGCCACCAGCTCCCCAGGGTTCCGTTCCCACACTGGGGGATCCAGTGTGAATAAGCGTTTGGACAATTTGCCACAAGGCAGGTCATTGCATTTTTAAGCCTCTCTCACGTGCTAGGATGTTCTTCCTTTTCTTGAGGTAGAATCTGCCTCCCTGGACTCACTCCTGGTCCTGGTTTGCCCTCCACAGAGACTGACCTCTAATCCTTCCTTCACAGGGTGGTCTCTGGCTTTGGGCCACTCTCCTGAGAAATCGAAAAGACACACTTCTGGTTGACAAAGATTGCGAAAGTAGCATCGTCCAACTTCCTTAAAATAAAGCCACAAAACTATATAGTGAGAACACACATAATAAAAGTATGAAGTGTGAAATGAGTCCAAATGATCTCACCGACAAGCTTAACTGAACACAAAATATTTCTGAGTGATGATTTATTAGTCACCCAAACTAGGCCGACAACTAGGTGGAGGCCGCGCAGCTTGTGAAAAGGCTGCTCCCCAAAGCCGGTCCTGAGTCACTGCAGGACTGGTTTCCCATAGAATCAGCTTGTTCCCTGTCCCAGGCCCCCAGGAGCCAGAATCTCCTGCTCAGCACAACCATGAAACATCTCTGTGGACACACGTTCTGAGGTTGTGCCTGGATCCTCTCACCAGCCCCGACCGCGGATGGGGTAAGGTGACCCCAGGAAGCAGGTGTCAGGAACTGGAGGGTCCAGGGCTGAGATGTGGAGCAGGGCACTGTGAGCCTGGCTCTGCAGTGAGGCAGACCTCAGAGCCTGGGCCCCAGCCTCTTAACTTGGTGTCTATGTGACCCTCTTTCTGCCTGCGTGCTTTTACCTGTAAAGATGGCACAATGTAATACATACCTCCTGGAACTAACGTGCAAAATAAATGAGATCACTTTTTCTTCTTATTTGTAATCAGAAAAGAAATTGAAGATGGAAAATAACAAAAGCATGGGAAAACTCAATAGGACACATACAACTGTCTGGTACAGTCCCTGAAATTGAAGGCGTGCTCAAGAAATAGCAACCTTGCCCCCTCCCTGCTCTGCCGCAGAGGGACTCATGAGGGAGGGGCCCATCCTGAGTGGCCCGGGCCTGAGGCAGGAAGGGAAGGAGGGACCGGGGGGTGGGGAGCCCCAGCAGGGCAGGGGAACCACTGCCACCAGCCAGGACACCACTTCCTTAGAAAGGACACAGGGCTGTGAGTCTGGGGCTTCCCACACTTGGGAAGTTTAACTTTCCAAAACTTGTAAAATAAAGTATATAATAAAACTCCCCGGGGCTCCTGCATCTACCGCTGACAGAAGAAAACCTCAGAGCCGAATAAAGCTTAATAATTATGATTAAATTGAACATTTTCAATAAACTTCTCAAATGTATAAATGTCCGGCAGAAATGAATGCCTTCTACCAGAAAAGATAAATGAGCACACAGGAGAAAGGTTAGCGTGAACAGAATACTGTAAAAACCACTCACTTTTATCCTGGATTTGGTTACACGTCCTATTTCCTTTCATTAAGGAAGTTTTCCCCACTCCTAGCTTAAGGTGATTAAATGACATGATTATTGTTGTACATAAGACCGGTAACATAATTCCTTTTATTAAAAAAATAAATCCCCAGACACAAACTTTAGGATCTGTCTGGTCTCGACGTCAGGTATCTGCGCGTTTCTTATACCTCCCACGGCTGGACTGACCCCAGCCGGCAGAGGGTGACTGGCGTCACCTTCCAGGCCGAGCCCCGCCACATATCTGCCACCCTGTCCAAGGCTCGTGACCGAAGTCTGTAGTTGCTGGACAATAGAAACCCTTGGTTTCTCTTTAACTTACAATAAAGAGGGTAACCTTGAACCCCGTGACTCCCCAGCTCTGGCAGTACTTGGGACCCACAGCCAGCAAATAAATGAAAATAAAGTGCTGATACATTTTGACAAATTATAAAATTCAACTCTCAATAGACAGAACAGAGTAATTAAAAACAAGTAAAAAAAAAAAAACAAAACTGTGAGCATAGGACTTTTATGAGTATTATAAGAAATAAGGAACATTTGGAAGAAACTCTCCAAATCATTTTGATGAGTTTTTAAAACTCACGGAACTAAAATGATAAGGGTTACATTGAGAAATATCGTAAGTGAGGCAGGACATCTCTGGCCATCTGCTTTTCGGGGAAGTCCCATTAAAAGAATCCCCTGAACAAAATCATTTAAAGGCAGAACGTAAGCTTCCTCTTCATCCCACACCTCTCCAATTATCTACTAAACTTTTCCTAAGAAAGGGAAATTTAGCAGCTGAGCGTCTCACCCGGATTTCCAGAATTGCTCAAATTCAGCAAGAGCTCTAAAATCTTCACGTGCTGTTCACAAGCCAGTTCTACTAGGCAGGCAGCAGGTCTTTACTTGCTGGCACAGGAACGCGAGGGCACGGGCGAGGGTGCTGTCACACCGAGCACGGCCCTGCAATGAACTGCTTCCAATACCCCGGTAGCAGCCGCCGGGAGGAATGGAGAGCTGCCCCCAAACTGGCCCCGACTAAACCCTCCCCGCCACCCAGGGATGCAGAAAGGCCAAGAAAGCAGCGTTACGAGTGAGCCAACAGCAAACACACTCCACATGTGAAAACTTCGTTAAAAATAATAAAAATATACATCAGAAATTGTGACTTACCACCATCAGACACAGTTGCAGACTGAAAGAAAAGAGAGAGAGACATGAGTTAATTGGGCCTCATGACAGGTCAGGAGATGATAGCACGTCCACGTGAGGAGCAAAAGCAGACTCTGGCCGTCCCCGTTCTGGGAGCGGGTGTCCAGGAGACCAGCCGCCTCACTGGGGCGCGTCCCTGCGCTTCCTGGGCGAGCCGGGGAGCAGGCCGGGCGGAAGCAGCCCATCTCCACTTGGGGACAAATCCCAGCACGTTTGACATCGCCGTCTTAGTAACAACCTCGGTGAGAACAGCATTACAAACTTCGGTCTGATCAGCCCGGGCTGGGGTCCGTGGGGTGCACCCACGTCCAGGAGGCAGGCACCCTGCCCACTGTCCGTCCAGGGCCAGGCGCTGCCCTGGGCACATCACAGCCCTGCTCGGCGCTCTCACGCCGAGGCCCGGCCCGCGCAGGGGTGAAACCACCCCGGTGGTAGCAGAGTGGGGGCTCGGCCACAGCCAACCCCGACCGCCAGGCCCAGCCACCCTGAGCAGACAGATGGGGGGACAGGCCAGGACTGGAGGGAGGAGGCCATCGAGGGAGGTCCCAGAACGACAGGCGGGCTGGGCTCCCAAAGAGCTCTGAGGAATCCTCCGACGGGGACAGCTGAGCAAGGCCCCCTGGGGACCCACCTGTGGGTCAACAGTTCTGAGGTTGTAACCTAGGGAAGGTCACCTGGGACATGGAGGGAGAGGGCTCCGGAGAAGGAGTCGGGAAAGGGAAAAGCCGGGCGGAGGCAGGAGAGGGTGTCGGTGGCACAGACACCAGGGGAGCCTTCACGGCGGGAAGGGGAGCAGGTTCAGTGCAGGGCAACCTGCTGCCTTGTTGACGTGTCCTGGTCACAGCACAGGCACAGCTCCGAGAGCAGCGGGCAGGCAGGGCCCCAAGGCAGGGACGGGGGCCAGCGGGCCACTGATGCGGTGCCAGGCACCGGAGCGGACGTGCTGCCCTCTGTGTCTTTGCCCAGCGCTGGGCTGGGCGCAAGGAAACCTCCCAGCCACGCCCTAAGAATAAACCCACTGCAGAACCCCCAGGCCTTGCACGCCTTCCTCTCTGCAGAGGGAAGGGAGACTGGAGTGCATGGCGTGGGGGGTGAACGGGGAGCCCCTTCCCAAGTCCTGGGCCCCCCCAACAAGCAGAGGTCATGTTTTAAGACCCCTAAGGCCAAAGCCAAACAAGTGAGGACAGAGGTGCCCCAGATTAGCTGCTTCCGGTGGAAGCCCCATCCCCCCGGGGGAGAGAAAGCATGTATTTGTGGCCGAATTTTGAAAAGAGCCACCATGTCAACTGCATCCCCTACTCACTGTTTGGTCCTCCCGTCGCCAGCGCCAGGGCCCCCCAGACCTTGCCTCCTGGACTTCACGGAAGACAAGGGACCCTCTTGGTCGCAGCCCCTCACCTTGTGGGACTTACACCTACCCTCCTGCCCCCAAGGGTCTGTCCTCTGACAGCGAGAGGCATAGGCTTCCTGACGGTTTTAGGATGGGGCTCGTCGGCGTTTCATACCATCGTGAGTCCTCGGTCAGAAATACCCTGGAACTATAACTGGTACCTTATCCGTATATTTTTCTATAGTAAAAACACAGGCTATTGTGGGTCCAGCTTTGAAACCTTCAGACAGGCAGGCAATGAGCAGGCCCCAGCGAGCCACCAGCCCTCACACGCTAAGGGTCTGGTTTTCACCGGAGAAGCGCGGGCTGAGTCTCCTTCCCAGGGCGGACGAGTGCACTGTGGGAGGCTGTCCTTCTGCCCGTGCTCACAACAAATCACCTACAATCGAGTTGTAAACTAAATAATATCAAAGGCAAATTACTCCCTTGAGATTATGAGAAGAAAATCTGCAAAAAGGCCACACACAAAAGCAGAAATACTACCAATAACGATTTTGAAAACTAAGTCATAAAACGCAAAATCCACGGATGTGAGGATGTGGCTCACTTCATGTTACAATCTTGACTAAAACTAAAGTCTCAGGCTTTAGCAGACTGAACAAAATGCACTAAAAAGTCTCACACGTATCCCCAAAATGAACTGAACTCAAGATCCAGGAGACAGGAGTGTGCCTGAAGCCAAGAAGGAGGTGGCAGCTGAGTGCGGGCAGCCCACGGGGAGGCGGGGTGGGCTGGGGAGCGTGGACACGGCGAGCAGGGAGGGCTCAGCGCATCTGGAGAGGCTCCAGCTGGGGGGCTGCCAGACTCCAGCGTGGGGGGGCCCTCTGGTACAGTGTGAACAGATCCAGGTAAAGTTCCCCAAACGTGCTTTTAGAGCAGTTTTAGATTTATAGACACATTGTGAAGCTAGCACAGAAACAAACATGCTTTCTAACATACTGCTGCTCCACAGGAGCAAGGGGAACCCCTGAGGGAGGAGAGAGGGGGAGGGAACGGAGAGCAGCCGGCAGACGCCAAGGCCGCCAGGCGGGACGCAGGGCTGAGCGGCGCGTGTCCACTCACTCGGACGCTCGTGGGGCAGAGTCCCAACTCCGGCAGGCACAAACACAAATCCTCCGGGAAGGCCCACAGGAGTTCCAAGAGTGGGAGCCTGCCCAGACGTAAGCTCCCAATTCAAAAATCCCCCCAAGCCCAAGGAAACCCCACCACGAGAAAGAACCAGCAGAAATAGCAATTAACAGAATCTCAGACACTGGAAGGTTCTAGTACAGATGTCAAATAACCATGAAATTGTGAAGAAATAAAAGTTGCAGTAAAGAAAAGAGGAAGTAAGGTGGTAGATACGAAAAATAACCCAACAGAATGATTGACAATGAAAACTACAACTGTTGAAATTAAACACTCAGTAGAGAGGTTAACAGAGATTAGAGGTTGAAGAGAAAATTTGGGGATTGGAAGACAGACCTGAAAGAAATCACACTGATGGTAGCACAGAGAGGAGGCACAGGAAACAAGCAGCAGAGACTAGGCTGCACTGGGAGGGTGCACAGAGAGGGTGGAAGATGCACAGGAAATCCTGGCCAGCCTGCAGCAGGGCCAGCGAAACCCCCTAAGGAGTGAGAGCTGCTCTGCAGATAGGTACCCACTGCCCACAGGCCATTCCTCCGGGAACTTCTCCAGGATGCCCACCAGGAAGAGGCATCCTGGGTCCAAGCCTCAGTTGTTCCGCATTTTCCAGGAGGGACTCAAAGTCTACAGGCCACAGCCTCAGAGGAAGTACTCCCTTCCCTTTCCCCACTTCGGGTAGCTGTGCCAAGAGTGCCTTCCAAGTACTAGGCGTCTGTGGAGCCACAGGCTGGCGGCCCCTGTGTGCTGAGGGTTCTCCCCGAGCGGCCCGATATCCCCGCCCACCCAAGGCCCTAAGCTCTGCACAGAAATCCTTGACGAGAGGCAAGTTCACGCTGGGATGGCTCCTGACACGAATCAGTGCAGAAGGATCACCGGAACTAGGTACGCAGCCCTGCCTCGCGTCTCCCACCTTCTCTGTTCGCGACTTGTTATCCTGGCAACTGTCTCCATCCCAACCAGACGTTAATCTGAAAGTAAAGCTCTATGGAGACGCACTTTAATATCACCTGGACATAAAACTACTGTCCCCCTCCAAGTTTCCATACTTTTGGAGAAGTCGATGATGACTTCCTGACCAGATAACTTAATTTGAAAATAATGTATAATTATCATTAACCTAATTCTCCCATTTACTATCTAATATTTATTCTATTTATAAACACACACCTGGGAGTGACAGAGCTGGGCCATCACGTGAACCGACATGAGATATCCCCCAAAAGGGCCCGCTGGATCCCTAGTCAGCATCTGATTCCTTGGCCGTTTTGAGAAGGATACGGAAGCAGGCTACGGAGCACATCGCAGGGGCTTCATTATCAGAGGAGGTGAGGCTGAAAGAGGTGACACAGTGCAGCACGGGCGACAGATGCTGTCACGGGAGGGGGCGGGGGAGGGGGCCAGTGCCTGGCGTAGGGGCAGATGAGACGGTGCAGGCAAGCAACCTGCCGACAACAGCCTTGGGGGAAAGGCAGGCAACCCCCCAAATCGTTTCTATTGACCTTGGGATTGACACGTCCAATTCTGACCCAATTACCCTGGTTAAGCCTGGCTTGCACTTTTCAAGCACATCCTGGTTGACGGGGGAAGCATCCAAAATGGCAAAAATTCAGAAACCCCCATAGATAATTCCCAAAGAACATCCCCCACAAAGGGTAAGAAGGACTAATTGCAGATCAACATGACTTTTAAAGTTAGGCATCCCCCAATTTCCTGGCATGCTTAGACCACTATAAACATTTTCACAAATTAAAACTTAACTCGCCTAACGTTTGTTCTGATACATTAGCCTGTACTTCTTGGGTTCTTCCCACGTTCCCATGTCGCACGCTATTCTTATAAAAAGCGCAGCTGCAGAAAACAAGCCGCCAGTTAAAAGGTGCCAGAAAGTGAGCATTTTTCTGTGCTTACAGTTTAAACACATACCATAACTAAACAGCTCTAAAAAGGTCTATGATATGTCTCCAAGACTGGAGTTTACACTAACGTAAATACATTGGTTTTTAAAAACTTACAAAGTATTTTAGATACGTAATTTAAGTTCAAACAATCTCCATACCTCAGGTCAGCCTCTTAAACCTGATAGTTCAGTGTTAACTGATTTGGATCTATTCCCAGCAGGAAATGTGTCTGGACCACACATGTGCACGGATAGTTTATTTTTAATTAATGTTTTGAACGTTCTAGATAATTTCTATGAAGAGTGCTATATGATTCTGGTTTATCAAGGCCGATTCTGTCAGTAACATTTGACAATAGCAGTTATGAGAATATATCATTTCCTAATTACGCGATACATAGTAATATACATAGTTTCAATTTTGAGCTACTGACAAAATTTCCTACTTTGAACATAAGAAATATTAAATAACCATCTCTGGTTCTTAAAATAAGAGACCAAAGGCTCGTAACTTGCCTAAACGTTTTGAAAAAAGAGATAATCCCAATGATGAAAAGCCTTAAGAATC